GTACAGTATACAGTATACGCCCTAGACGTTCACTTTTGGTCTACCCACCAAATGTTTGAAGGATTTTGCATTTCTTACAGGAACGTACATAAATGTAAGAAAACACAAACCATCCTCAATATTTTTAATGTGGATTTAGTGTGGAATAGTAACATTAACTTTGCCTTCCTTAAGTAGGGAGACCCGTGGCATTCATCTTTTGGTGCCTCAGTGAGACACTTACACCATCATAAAGAGAGTAGCTCACAGTTAGTTGGAGGAGGTCGCTGGCAGCCTTGCCTGCTAGCCTGACTCCCTCCAGACCTCCAGTGTGATCAGCCAGGGCCAGTGGCAGACTGAACTGAGCCTCAGTGGCAAACAAAGAAGAGGAGGAGGAGAGGGAGGGACAAGAGGTGTTTGAACACTGTCTGGAGCTCTGCTGTGCCTTCATCTTACATGTAGTGCTGAAATATGAGACCTTCTGATGTGAAGCAACAGGTAGAGTAGGTGTATGTGACTGAAAGGATGTTGATTTTAGATCCTTTTGCACTCCCACTATAATCAGAGCGTCGGTAGACGCTCTATATAGGGATGACACGCGGGTGAAATCTCACGTGATCCGCGTACAAAAGAACGCCTCAAAACTTGGCGAGAATGACTCACCATTGCTTGAAAATCACTAGCAATAGTCTACAGGCCAATACCTAGCTATACATACTCCCCAAGACTTCCTACGTGCCCTCAGTTCCCCACGAGAGAATTGGCTCTTACGCGATTTCACGATTTTCGTGTTCATCATCATGCATCATCATCATATTCTTCATCTTCGGTTTCTTCTTCAGTAAACCGCTATCTCGTTACCGAAAATAGTTGAAGTGCTGATTTTTCCATCAAACGTTTCCAGATTCGCCAGAGGTGTGCACGGACACATCAAGCGATCGTCTCTTTCATGCCGCAAGTCACTACGTAGATCGTTGAGCTCCTCCACGGTAGTCACTGAACAACGCCATTTTTGCTGCTAACTCAGCATCAGTGAGCCGCATGCGCCGAGGAGGGCGTTTCCCCAAAGCGGTGCGCGCGCATTCTCGTGCGTGAACCGGGTCTACGAGACTAAGCCAGGATGCTGCAGAGGAAACTCTTATCCTCCAGTGCCTTCTGTAAGTCAGTATACACATTTTTAACTGGCTAGCTTGCTTTTAGCTGTTGATTTGCACGTGGCAGTCTGCGCCGGGTTACGCGAGCCTTACAAATTAGCCTTCTTTCTTTGTCCCCCGGGTAGCTAGCTAATAGCTATATACCATTACTGAAGCCTGCCCATGAAATCGCCACCGTGTGCCACCACCTGATTATTGCGTCCTTGTTGGCCTGGAGACACTACGCGTACATCCCCGCTTCAGGCGCAGCAGCCCATTAGCTACTGCTTTCATCAGTTATCTCTACAACATACCCATGAACATCAGGTGACATCAGTGTTGTCATAAGCAGTTAAAAATAGTGGAAACAAGTGGAAAAATCATTTCTTCAAAATGAAAGGGGGATATAGGGATGGCTTGAAGCACCAAAAAGGAACAAACAAGGGGTCATTACACGGCAAGGTTGCACAAAGCTACATGACACCATCCCTATATCTTTGTTGTTATATGGCTCTGCAATAGAGGTTGTCTTGCATGTATATTTAGCTCAAGGGAAAGTTTGCTTATAAACAATAAAACAAAGATATAGGGATGGTGTCATGTAGCTTTGTGCAACCTTGCCGTGTAATGACCCCTTGTTTGTTCCTTTTTGGTGCTTCAACCCATCCCTATATCCCCCTTTCATTTTGAAGAAATGATTTTTCCACTTGTATCACTAAGTACGGTAGTACTTGGTATATAGGGATTGACATGGTACCTAGCATCATAGATGTATGGGGCTATGATAGGGAGTTTTGTTCATCTTCTTCTTCTTCTTCTTCTTCTTCGACCAGCGTAACTCAAAAACCGAAAGAGATAAAGCCATGAAATTTTGTAGGAATGTGCGTATCGATAACCACATGTGCAACGTCATACTTTTTTGTTTGTAAACAACTAAAAATGTGCCACAGGCAATACATTATAATGGACATACATGTGTTAGTGTAATTCACATTAATTGTAAGAGCTATGTGAACGAAACTTTGTATACATAATGTATTCAATACCCAACATGAAAAACACAATAATACATATTTATAAACAACAACAAATAGCCTCAGGCAATTTCTTTAAATTTACTTCTTCACGGCTCAAACTCCTTAATGGTAGGACGCATAGAGATGAAACTTGGTACGTATGCCTATTATATCATTTCCATGACAACTACATGTTTCCATGACGACCGCATATTGTTTGAAGAAACCTCAGACGATTATCTTTATAATTACTTCTTCATCATGATTACATGTTTCCATGACGACCGCATATTGTTCGAAAAGGCCTCAGGCAATTTTCTTTAAATTACTTCCTCACTCCTCAAACCCGCACACATGGAGGTGAAACTTGGTGCGCATGTGAATTACATCGTTTCCATGACGACCACAACAACAAATAGCCTCAGGCACTTTTCTTTAAAATTACTTCTTCACTCCTCCAACTTGCTAACGGCAGCACACATGGAGATGAAGCATATCATTTCCATCACGACAAAGGCATTTTATTATTAATTTTTATACGGGCTTGCCCCCTTCCACAGAGATAATACGTAGTAGTATATAAAAATGAGTGGAGACAAGTAAATTAAAAATCCTGCGAATTTAAAAAAAGAGGCATATAGGGATGGTATAAAAAGAAAGGGAGACAAGATAGGGATTGGATACATGAAGCATGGTTAATGAACAGATTTGAGTACGCTGACACCCCCAACCCCATCACACCATCCCTATATTGTTGCCTAGGTGAAGTATTAAACATTCACCATTACAATACTCAGAACTTACAATGCACTACTGAGTAACCAACACCCTTATAGAGTCCAAGTGGAGTTTTTATAAAGGGACTGTGACAGTATAAATATTACTTAAAACAACAGGGACACGGTGAAAGAATGCTTGCTTTAGTAACCTTTACCCCCTATAAGAGTAGCACACCAGGCAACAATATAGGGATTGTGTGATGGGGTTGGGGGTGTCAGCGTACTCAAATCTGTTCATTAACCATGCTTCATGTATCCAATCCCTATCTTGTCTCCCTTTCTTTTTATACCATCCCTATATGCCTCTTTTTTTTAAATTCGCAGGATTTTTAATTTACTTGTCTCCACTCATTTCTTTCAACTCTGCCACTGTGTACACCTTAGTAATGACTGAGACTGGAGACACACACACAGAGAGAGAGAGAGAGAGAGAGAGAGAGAGAGAGAGAGAGGGCATTGTACAAGTGGCCCAAATTTTATATGGTTGCAGGGAATATATGCACATTGTTAAAAAGGGAATGTGTCAGTATACAACGTTACCAAAATAAAGATGGAACTAAACCAGTGCAAGAATATAGGTTTCCATTCTTAGTCTATCAGCCCTTACATAACCCAGGTTGGTGTGAGTAGGTTCTTCACTCAGTGACACTGTGTTGTATATATATACTGCTCACTGTCGGTGAAGCTGCTGTTGCCAGCGGTGTCCTTCTCTTCCTCTGCCTCAGTATGAGGTCTCCCATCTTACGTTACAGCAGTTTATGTCTAAATGCGCACAATTAGCGGCCACGCTTGCAGTGTACTATTGATGAACTTAGTATGATGTACTGTATACTGTACAATACTGTGTAAAAAGACATGTGTCTAGAGTGTCTATACGAAAATGTTAGTTTTAGTGAGCGAGAACTGCATCCAGGAACAGTTCTGGTGGACCAAACGTGATGGTCTCGTCTCCAGTGGACACGCTGTGACCTGCAGCAAAGAACACACACATCATAATGTAGACCTCCCGTGGTAAACCATACACCCATGACCCATCATTAGGAACACATCTTCTGAACAGAGAAAAAACACATTGGCTGCCAGTGTACAGCAGTGCAGGTGCAATTGTTGCAATTCAGTGCTTGATTTTTTCCAGCATATTGCTGTCAGAGTAAGTGATACCAGAACGACACAGAAAGTCTTTTTTAAGATGACATACAAAAATATACCTTGTAGATAGTGTTGCTGGCAGAAGAGAGGGACGTTGTCTCCATGGGTAAGGATCAACTGGAAGCATGTCTGGGCAAAGAAACTCCTCAAGTCTGCTCCAAACACTGCCTCAAAGAAACGCCGCACTGGAATTACATGATTCGTTCGCTGCGTCCTGCAACCAACAATTGAGGTGTTTGTTGTAAAGTGTGGGACATTGTGTATGTATATACTTCTAGTGGAACCCTTCTCCAAGGACACCAGCAAAGGACTCTTCTTCTATTAAAGACACCCATACTTTCCCCAACACAACAGTTTCTTGCATGTCCCTGAAAAAAGGCACCTAACTAATATGGACACTTCCATTGGTGCCTGGATTAGAGTGGTTCCTCTGTAACTAACAATGCAGCAGAAAGTGTCCGTCCATATCAGAGAGGTGTGCTTTTTCGCGGGCTAATCTAAACAACAGTTTTTTCATGGGAGAGGGTGAGAAATGGGCAGAAGTGTACTTTCCTGTATGCTACTGTGATAGAGGTTATATACACTGACCAATCAGTGAGAAAGTCCTCAACAATGTGGTGGTAGAGATCAGGTGGAGGAAGCTTCCCTTTACCCAGACCTGAGGGAACGTAATATGTACACAGGACATCATCATCACAGACTGTGGGTTAGGATGGTCAGCCATAAGACCAGCATTTAACCTGATCAGTTTTCCTCCGCGACAGCACACTACCATTTTAAAATCTGTGGTCATGACACATGACATAGTCACTATTTGATTTGTGGGGTTGAAAATGCTGAAATATTTTTATGGCAGTGTTTTTGTCAATTATGTAGCTAGAAGAACCCTTGAAATGCTGGCATATTATTATTATTACAGTGTTTTCGTGAATATTATGGAGCTAGAACCTTGACACATTATTTCAGTATTACGTGAAGTTGTGTAGCTGAGACCTTTGAAGGAAGAAGGGAAGGAGATGTAGTAGTAGAGGACCGGATGGAGGAAATTGCTATTGTCTCCCTGGAACGGGTCTCCGATGGCTCTGTCTTCCCTCAGAACATCCTCACTGCAGTCAAGAAACAGTCTTTTACGCAAACACAAATTCACAGTTTTGTGATTTCGTTGGCAAGTGACTATATATGGGAGGTAGCCTAAACTCCTCGTACTTTCAGCAAACACTCGAGGAAGACAGAACACCAACTGAGCATTCTGTATTCCTTGACAACAGTTGGAGAATATATGAAAACCTGGGTAGTTACTATGGCGGAAACCTTAACACTTATTAGCCATGGAAAAAATGTGTCCAGAGCCTCCATAAGAATTTATATAGGGTTATAGTACTTGGCGATAAATACTTTATACATGATTATCTGCTTATTTAAAGAGATACCCATGGCGTCCAAAGGGTTTAAGTGAGCAACTAGTGAGGACCTTACCCAGGGCCTGAGTAGTCTGGGCCGTACTCAAAGTCCCATATCACCATACGACCTGGTTTGTGGCCTGTCATCTCTATTGGAGGAAGTCCATCTCATCAAGTCACACTGTTTGAGAATAGAGCACGCAACAAACCGTGTATGGCAGGTAGTGACTGTACGGGGACCTCCTCCAGATACACCACAGTACCGTTGTCCCCTGCGTGTGACGATAAAGAGACAATTTCTCTAACAAGTTTCTGTAAAGCATATTATTCAGGTTCTGGATGACTATGGCCACCCTCTTATAACAAAAGTCTCCCGTACGCTCATATATACACTGTACACGTAGTTTATGCCCGGTTTAAATGTACACAGTCACATTGCCGTGTTCTAATTATGTGGAGCTTACTTAGTAGAGCAACGTCAGCCAGTACCCCAAACATCTGGTAGGGCCCCTGGAGTTAGTATAATAGTGAGAGGGGGGCACATACAGAGGGGTTGCAGGAGTGATGCATACACCACCTTGAGATCGTGCACGAGTGTAGCAGTTGCCAGATTGGTGTGTATGTATGCACTATTGGTCAAACACAATTGGCGAGCCTTCCTAGTTGTTGAAATGTGGAATTTTCTAAATATGTGACAGGCACTGCACATACTGATACGTATGTGTTTATAAATGCGCGCAAAACACATGCGAAATATTGAACTGCTAGCTTCTCTCTCGCCAATACTGTGTTGCTAGTTATGCCCCTCCCCCCCCCACGCAAACCCCCCGGGCAGGATTGACTCACAGAAGCCTCGTTGATCCTCTTGATCATGTAGTTTGGGAGGTCAGTAGAGAGCATGGAAACTGAGGGCCACGGAACTCCCTCATACTTCCACTCCAGGTGACGGTTTAGGGCCCTCGCTGGAGACCAGTGGAGGAGGGAATGAACAAACACATAATGACAAGTCAATTGTTAATTACAGTCAAAGCGTTTGGTGTTTGGCTTACACAGGCATGGGAGAGAGAAAAGATCTCGTTTCAGTTAGAGTCGAACCCAGAGCAAAGGTAAGTAGTGTGCTAAGTATTGAACAGCAAACTTCTCTTTATCCTAAAGAGGCAGGGTCTCATTTACCTCTATTTCTAGATGCCTACAAACTTGGCTGTAGGTCTCATTACATTAGTCAGGCGGTCTCACCAGTATACCATGGATGAAACTAGGCTAGGCTGGCGTAATGTTTCACCAGCATATCTGAAGCCATGAAATGGGATAGCCTGGCATAAGTTCTCACCAGTATATCTGTAGCCGTGGATGAAGCCTCCAGCAGATCTCTTGTAGTCCAGAGAGTGAGTTGCAATCCCTCCTGAAACCATTGGAAACACCACATTAGTCTTTCTGAACAGGTGTTTCTGAACAGAGCTCAGGTAAGCTCAGTTCATTCAGAGCAAAGGGGAACCGTCCTTTTCACCAATTTGGCTCTTACCGTGGATGTAATAGTAAAATTTGGCAGTTTTGATGGACTCACTTACATAGAATTGCCTAATAAAGACTACTGACGATGGAACTAAAGTGGGAGAATGCAATTGTGTTTCAAAACTTTAGCCCTTTGCCACGCTCTCTTTAACGGCTACCACTTCTTCTAGGTACACGATACGCTAAGCTACTAAAGACCAGAAGACCCACCAATGAACATGTCGGGGACTCCAGACACCTCGTATGTCGGCTGAATGAGAGGAAACTTCTTTTGCCCAGCGTCCGAGTACCGTGGCCTCACAGAGTCATTGAAGATTGAAAAATCAAACTGAGTAGAGATGTACACATGTGTCGACAACGAGGTAACAAGGTAGGAAGGCAAAGGCAAAGCAAACAGGTCAACTACACCCAGGACGGCTCTTTCTTTTGAAGGGAAAAGAATAGCTTCCCTAGGTAGGATTCGAACCCACGGCACTCTGCTTTCTAGGCGAGCGCTCTACCATCCACAGCATGAATCACACAAGGCAAAGGGGAAAGGCAAACCCAAAACTCTGTGCTCTGTATGGCACAGAAACCCGTCTTAATATGTGAGTGTACATATTAGCCTCGTCCCCAGGCCCTCCCTCTCTCCTACTGGAAACAGGTTTATTACTTTTGAACCAGCATGTGAGGAGTTAAAACGTAGGGCAGATTCTACGTGTGTGTGTGTGTGTGTGTGTGTGTGGTGAATAGGGATGGGTATGGTACCATCACCAATACCGATAATGGGCAATCCGAAAGAACACATGTAAAAATAATATACTGGCCATGCATTAATTTAACTGCATGTTGCATCATGGATTTTTTCCGGCAAATATGAAAAAAAATTTTGCTTAAAAAAATAACTGAAGTCACGTGATTTTTTATTTACTTGTAATGTAGGTATATACAGGTAGTTACCATGAAACCAGTGCAGCGGAGTATTGTGTCATACTTGAAACTGAAAATGCTGGTCTCGACATCGTCTGGATACGAGAGGAAATGTGAAAAATTTACACACACACACACACTGTACGCAGACAGGTAAAACACTCACCGAGGAATGACTTGTCCATAGGTGAGAGGAAAAGGTTTCCCTTGGAATCCTTCGCAATGTACGCTGTCCCTGCACCTGTAAATAGCTCTGCGGGGGACATACACATAGTCCTTTCATTTTTGCATACAGCATAGTACACGCTTCAGGACATGTATAGCTCAACGTACAGAAGAATACTACATAAAACTACATAGTAAAAGCGAAAGCTCACCAAACTGTCCGTCCAGTGACTTTAGCTGGTATGTGTCAATCATCTGGTTGTTGATGGCTCTGTATAATGGACAATCAAACAGTCAACCAAAGTCCTATATAGTAAGGGTGGTTAAGGTACTGGTTAGTCATGTGATGTACCTCACGTCTCCAACATAGTGGGTCTGGTAGGCCAACTTTATACGACTCCTACACAATGAGACAACTTTTATCACATGCATACAAACACTATATAAAAAGGCAACAAGATGTAAAATCAGATATTAATAGACACGTAACCGTTACGTACATGTCTATGAAGCAACTAATGCAGGCGGTTAGCGGTTAAACTCATGAATAATACTTTTGCCTAATTCGAGAAATTCACATATTCCTGACCTACAAGGCATGTACTATAGAGGACACGCACGTACATAATGTGGAAATTCGCAAATAATTTTTCCGTCAATTCGGTATACCTGGCGGTCATGTGGATGTATGCGGCATTGCCGACAATGTGATTGCCAGTCTCGAACCCAGCATTGCCTGCAGACACACAGTAGTTCCAGTCACCACACGGACCAGGAGTCGAACCACTCACCTCTTCCTATGATCAGGACCCTCTTTCCCTCGTAGTCTCGCCTGTCCAAACTCATCGACTCGTAGCCCTAGACACACACGAGAAAGTCTTTTCAATATTTCACACGTGTTTTGCGCTTATTTAGAATCAAATGGAACATAACGGTATGTGCAGTGCCCATCGCAGTGCCAATCACACATAGAAAATTTCCATCATTGAAACGACTAGGTAGGCTCTCTTCACTTGCCAATAATGGACACATACATGCTTGAATCCAGTGCTAATTATGCATTTGTGTTACCTCGGATACCACAAAGACAATTTTCATGGTTCAAGATCCATTGTAATGCTAAATACTCCAGGAGTATTATTATTATTTTTATAGGTGCAGTTTTAATCCACAAAAATGATTATGCACACTCCAAACATTTTTGGCGCTCATTCAACCATTCCCACTACTGCATTGTAGAGTATCTCAGTATCGGGAGTGGAGTGTGGGAGAAACAGCTCACTGGCGGCCACAAACTACCCACTCCCACATATTATTTCAATCCACACGAAAGAAACATAAAACTGGTCCACCAATGTATGTGTGCAAGAGAATACACAATCATGTATATACATCAGTTTTCCAACTGGGTGTAGTTGACTTGTCTTGCCTTGCCTAACTCGTTACCAAGTTGTTGAGACATGTATTACCAGATGTTCACCTAGTAACCAACCTGAGCATGTTCTATGCCTTGTATGTCAGGAACATGAGGCACCCACAAACCAGTACTGCACATAATATAGAGGACACACACGTACGTAATCTCGTCAACTTTAGAATGCAGAATAAATTTATGATCAGGCTGTATATACATCAGTTTTTCCACCTATATAAGCTCCCCATTGAAGATGTCCTAGGTGATTTTGGTGCATTTTCCTTGCAAACTTAGACTTATACCTGACAATTAGAATATCACAGCGATAGACGACGCCATTTTGGTCTTTCAGATGGAAACAACTATCAGCACCCTCTTCATCTGGTCCTTTGTCCACCTCTTTGATCTCAGTCTCATACTGGATCTTCAGTTGGAGTTGCTCGGCATAGTCTTGTAGATAGCGCACCTGTGGGAGAGAGGGCAGGGAGGGAAGGGAAGAAGTGAGTGAGTGAAGAAAGGATGGAGGGCAGAGGGAGGCAAGAATGACAGAGAAGAAGAGAGGGAGGGGGAAGGGGAAGGATATAGGAAGGAGGGTAAGTAAAGTGAAGAAGGAGACAGGGAGAGGGGCAGATAAAAGGCGGACTAAAGTGGCTAAATTACATAGACATCAGCCACAGGGAAGTACTCGTCAGTGTAGTGTTTCAGGAACAGAGTTGGGTCGTCACTAATGAGGCTGTTCCAGTCGTGGCGGAAACTGAACTCCCTGTTCTTGCTCCCTGTGAAAGTGAAGATTAGAGAGTTACACCCACACATAATACAACAAAATGTTTGCTAACAACACTTTTATAGCCACAATTCAAAACCTTATACATTTTTTCAATTCCACTTATTACAGAGGCCACAAAGAAAACTGTTTACATAAGACTGTATATCGATTTCTGTGCTCAACTCCTACTGGGGTACCCTATGAGGCTCAGTGTCAACAACGAGGCAGCAAGGCAAAATACATATAATATACCTGTGTGTCTCTTGTTGATGGAGATGAGAGTGCGGTGGCGTGGGTAATGGGTGAAAAATGAACCTGCAGTTTATGCAATCAGCACATGTTCAAGTTACAGGACCTAAAATACGAGTGAGTGACAAGTTCCTTACCTGCTGTGGTGTTTTTCTCAAAAATGATGTAGTCCCTCCCAGCTCTGTCCAGGAAATAGCCTATCTGCAGCCCTGGACATGGGGGAGGCACACAGATAGAGCTTGCAGTTGGTTATGAGGAATTCTCAAAACCTAACCACATGCTACTTTTCCGCTAACATGGCAGCTAGCCTCTAGCTAAGGGGGAAATGAATGCTCAGCCAGGGAAAATATTTGGGAAAAAAACTGTCTGTTTGCTTGTAAATTCACGAGGTCTTCACCATAGTAGCACGCATGTTCTCGTGATGTGAACCAGGCCTCTATACATTGCTTACTTCGTCTGTATACGCTACGATCTTGCACGACCTGCTACACGGAAGGGTGTATACTAGCTAGTGGTGTCGTTTGCTCACCTCCAGGGCCTGCTCCGATCACACAGTATTTATGGACGTTGTTTCTGGAGAGAGTTTCTCGGACGATAAAGGGTGAGAGAAACGACAGCACGAGCAAGACGCGCACCTCCATGGCTCTAGCGGATAATGTTACGGGCCGCAGAGGGAATGGCATACCTACCAACCATCCCGCTTTTACCGGGATTATCCAGGTATTCGAGCTCTGATCCCGGCATCCCGTCATCATGAAGTACGAAAATCCCGCTTTTTTACACTTGCGCGCGCGCTGGCGCATACCGCGCCGTCACGTACGTAGCCACGCCTTAATTCCGCCGTCGCGTCGTAGCCGGCCTGCCCTCATGCCGCGCCGCTGACCTGACAATCAAGGACCTAATCCTCGCTATCGGTTTGAAGCCTCGGTATGGGGTGGTATTCGTGTCAGTATTGAGAAACTGGAACCGTCCGTACTTAGAGCGGCGCAGCACGTAGCTCTTAGGAACAAGCTAGAGCGTCCGTTCTTTTTCTCACGCATACTACAGTTACTGTAATATCGCAAAAGTAACTTATAAACGTAAGAGCTGCGCCGCTCTAAGTACGGAGGGTACCAGTTTCTCCGTAGAACGCAATACATTGCTGGAGCCAGAACGGGACTCCGGATGTGACGTCACGTTAAATTATCTCCGCCCACTTTACGTGCCATGCATACTTTTGCTATTGCCTCGGCAAATGGAAATTTGCCTAGGCAAGAGCACTTTTGCCGCGGCAAAAGGCCCGGCAACTATGGGAGGTGATTCGTGCCAAAATTCGACGATGTGACGAACCCGTTTTGTTCGTCTGGAGGAGGCGTGATTCGTCGGGCGGAGGCGCGTTTGTTCCAGTGGAGAGGCGTGTCTCGTCGAGCGGAGGCGCGTTTTTACGAGTGGAGAGGCGTGTCTCGTCGAGCGGAGGCGCGTTTTTACGAGTGGAGACGCGTGTCTCGTCGAGAGGAGGCAAGTTTTTTGAAGTGGAGAGGAGCGCGAAAGTGTGGAGAAGGCGGTCAGACCTAGAGCAGCTAGTGAGTGCGACCTCTCAGCTGCAGCAGCAGCTTCTTGAGAGCGCGGTGCGCGGTCTTGAAGGTCAGCCATACTAGCCGTGTATGAATAGCCATCCTAGGAAGTTATTCTTATTAACGCCGTCCTTGCCCTTTGACCGGAGGCGGTTCTGGGAACCCGACGATGGAGATACGCCTCTCCACACGAAGAAACTTGCCTCCTTCCTCCTCTCGACTTGGCACGCCTCTCTACTTGAAAAAAACTTGCCTCCTCTCGACGAGACACGCGTCTCCACTCGTAAAAACGCGCCTCCGCTCGACGAGACACGCGTCTCCACTCGTAAAAACGCGCCTCCGCTCGACGAGACACGCGTCTCCACTCGTAAAAACGCGCCTCCGCTCGACGAGACACGCGTCTCCACTCGTAAAAAACGCGCCTCCGCTCGACGAGACACGCGTCTCCACTCGTAAAAACGCGCCTCCGCTCGACGAGACACGCGTCTCCACTCGTAAAAACGCGCCTCCGCTCGACGAGACACGCCTCTCCACTCGTAAAAACGCGCCTCCGCTCGACGAGACACGCCTCTCCACTCGTAAAAACGCGCCTCCGCTCGACGAGACACGCCTCTCCACTGGAACAAACGCGCCTCCGCCCGACGAATCACGCCTCCTCCAGACGAACAAAACGGGTTCGTCACATCGTCGAATTTTGGCACGAATCACCTCCCATAGGGCAACGGCAAGAATACTGACACGATTGAACATGGCCCAGCTAGTTATTCTTGCCGCGGCAAATGTCCCGGATTTTTCGGCCCAGGTTTTGCCGGGGCAATTGCCGCGGCAGTTTAATTTTGCCGCGGCAAAACGGAAATGCCTTGGCAAAATCGACGTTTAAATACTGACACGAATACCACCCCATACTTTACTCGACTTAGACGCTATACTGATGGAGTTCCGTGAGTATCAGTCGTTACCAGATCCAGCATGCAAATCATTAGATGATTTTTGGGCCTCTGTTGGAGATTTACCCAAGCCGCTGGTGAGATTGGTGAGAAGCGTGTTAGTCATTTAACTGGATTCTGTAAGACTTCGCTCGTTTTGCCACATTCTACAGCTGATCCCGAGCGCCTCTTCAGTATGATTGGTAAAGTCGACACATATATTGTCTCAGTGAAGTAGTTTGCTTCCATCTACAGTATCATTTTGAGCGCAAAGATAAATCACGATCAGGAGTGCAAATGAACTTGCTACACCGGATCTAATTGCCCAAGCCAAAAGTGCCACAACACGAAGCCTATGAAACTTAACTTCAATGCTGTATATAGATGATCATGATCTTATTGGCTGTATCTCCGCAATAGTAATGTAATTACTCTAAATAATTATTAATTAATTAAAAATCAAGCAAAAATGTGAAATATCAAGCAATTTTGTGCCAGATGTCACGCAAATTATTTGGAGGTGGTTGGTAGGTATGGAATGGGCTGGTTGTCACGCCCACGTACCTTGTCTTACCGCCCGTGCGCATGCGCAATGCGCCCAGCGCTGTAAAGACAACTCACCGGGTAGTCGATTTTAAAATGGTAGAGTGCAGTCGTGGAGGAAAGCTGATCAAGTTAAATGCTGGTTTTATGGCTGACCATCCTAACCCACAGTCTAATACCTGGTGATGACGATGTCCTGTGTACATATATATTACGTTCCTGGGTAAAGGGAAGCTTCCTCCACCTGATCTCTACCACCACATTGTTGAGGACTTTCTCACTGATTGGTCAGTGTATATAACCTCTATCACAGTAGCATACAGGAAAGTACACTTCTGCCCATTTCTCACCCTCTCCCATGAAAAAACTGTTGTTTAGATTAGCCCCCGAAAAAGCACACCTCTCTGATATGGACGGACACTTTCTGCTGCATTGTTAGTTACAGAGGAACCACTCTAATCCAGGCACCAATGGAAGTGTCCATATTAGTTAGGTGCCTTTTTTCAGGGACATGCAAGAAACGGTTGTGTTTGGGAAAGTATGGGTGTCTTTAATAGATGAGAAGAGTCCTTTGCTGGTGTCCTTGGGTTCCACTAGAAGTATATACATACACAATGCCCCACACTTTACAACAAACACCTCAATTGTTGGCTGCAGGACGCAGCGAACGAATCATGTAATTCTAGTGCGGCGTTTCTTTGAGGCAGTGTTTGGAGCAGACTTGAGGAGTTTCTTTGCCCAGACATGCTTCCAGTTGATCCTTACCCATGGAGACAACGTCCCTCTCTTCTGCCAGCAACACTATCTACAAGGTATATTTTTGGATGTCATCTTAAAAAATACTTTCTGTGTCGTTCTGGTATCACTTACTGTGACAGCAACATGCTGGAAAAAATCAGCACTGAATTGCAACAATTGCACCTGCACTGCTGTACACTGGCAGCCAATGTGTTTTTTTCTCTGTTCAGAAGATGTGTTCCTAATGATGGGTCATGGGTGTATGGTTTACCACGGGAGGTCTACATTATGATGTGTGTGTTCTTTGCTGCAGGTCACAGCGTGTCCACTGGAGACGAGACCATCACGTTTGGTCCACCAGAACTGTTCCTGGATGCAGTTCTCGCTCACTAGTCACTAAAACTAACATTTACATCTAGACACTCTAGACAGATTCCTACAATACATGTCTTTTTACACAGTATTGTACAGTATACAGTACATCATTATAAGTTCGTCAAATAAGCGTGGCCGCTAATTGACATAAATTACCGTAGCGTAAGATGGGAGGTGGTAGTTATGATATGAGATTAAGCCTTCTTGCCCTTTTTACCAGGCTGGGTATTTATTACAGCCAGTTACAGTTGATTGTTAGTGATCTAGGAAGGTAGACAGACAACTGCCTGATCAAAAGGGATTTCATTGGCAGGCCATGCTACATTTTACGTGGAATATATAGAAATGCAACATGCATTGCCTGATCATGTCAAATGGATATTCGTAGGAGTCCTAATAGACTGTGAGGGGGGAATACACCCATGATGTGTCCCCAGTCAGTTTGTCTTATGATCATGAGGTGAGATAAGAGTATTCTGTCTAGCTGGTAGCAGCTAGTACCAGGTCCCCAGGCTGGGTTGGACTCATGGACAGGATCCTCACCAGCGGCTTCTGCTTATCACCACTCACCACTCCTGACTGCAGCAGATGCATTAGATCATTACAGTATAGAGCATATTATATACACACGTCATTTTTCATCTCCCTCCATAAGTTGCTGGTTTGCTATACACAGTATTAGCTGTCCTAAAATAGCACTATGTATTTTGTGTTTCTGGAGGGCGTTTCTCGGCATTTACACATACATATGTCCCATATAAACTTGCACCGTAGCATGTCACGACGCATACGTACAGGTGAAAACAGTGATGTTGTAATATATACATACCTTGAAGTAGATCTTGAACCTCTCCAACTGAAGTCTGAGTTTGAGAGCCATTTTATCCTCTGGATGTGTGCCTTCAAGGAACTCTCCCGGCTGCAGCAACAAACAACACACAGTCAGAGAGAGAATATCATCAGTTAGACCTCAGTGCACACAATTCTCATTGTAGTCTACCCACCAAGATTTTGCATTTCTTACAGGAACGTACATAAATGTAAGAAAACACAAACCATCCTCAATATTTTTAATGTAGATTTAGTGTGGAATAGTAACGTTAACTTTGCCTTCCTTAAGTAGGGAGACCCGTGGCATTCATCTTTTGGTGCCTCAGTGAGACACTTACATCATCATAAAGAGAGTAGCTCACAGTTAGTTGGAGGAGATCGCTGGCAGCCTTGCCTGCTAGCCTGACTCCCTCCAGACCTCCAGTGTGATCAGCCAGGGCCAGTGGCAGACTGAACTGAGCCTCAGTGGCAAACAAAGAAGAGGAGGAGGAGGAGAGGGAGGGACAAGAGGCGTTTGTACATTGTCTGGAGCTCTGCTGTGCCTTCATCTTACATGTAGTGCTGAAATATGAGACCTTCTGATGTGAAGCAACATCCTATTGCTTTCTAGAAACAGGGTATAATGTGACCGAAAGATCAAGTGGGAATTAGAAATGTTGATTTTAGATCCTTTTGCACTCCCACTATAATATTAGTAGTGTGTATGCTGCTTCACCATCTGAAGCTGATGATACGAGCAGGGTCTGCCTCCTCGTCAATACCAATAGACATCAGAATGGCGTAGAGAATGCCAGAGAAAGACGGCTCCTTCCCACTGGCCTGGGCTCTGAGCAACTCTGCCACTGTGTACACCTTAGTAATGACTGAGACTGGAGACACACAGAGAGAGAGAGAGAGAGAGAGGGCATTATACAAGTGGCCCAAATTTTATATGGTTGCAGGGAATATATGCACATTGTTAAAAAGGGAATGTGTCAGTATAGAACATTACTACAATAAAGATGGAACTAAACCAGTGCAAGAATCAAGGTTTCCGTTCTTAGTCTATCAGCCCTTACATAACCCAGGTTGGTGTGAGTATGTTCTTCAGTGACACTGTGTTGTATTTATATACTGCCCACTGTCGGTGAAGCTGCTGTTGCCAGCGGTGTCCTTCTCTTCCTCTGCCTCAGTATTGAGGTCCCCCAGACCCTGGGCATACTGGTACAGCTGGTGGGCCTCTCTGCAGTCTGTGTGTACCGACAGCAAATAACAGTACGTCACACAAGGCATTAGTGCAATAAGAAATGTTTTTCTGATGTGTAATTGAGAAAGGCGCCCCTTTGAAAATTTCCCGTGTACACACAATATTGCAGAATAGAACTTTAACCTACAGTATACGTATCATAAGACCCAGATTCCATGCAGTATGAACATGAATTACAGTCTTGGAGATCAGTTTATGCTCCTAGACCAAAAGGCAAATACATAGAAAGCTATAGTCCACATGGAAACAGTCATGTCAGATGCAGCTACCAGGATTGGTGGTGATGATGGTTTTAGGGTCGCAACTTGCCACCATCGAGTTGCTGTAACTGTTGAAATTGACTTTTGCATCCACCACAAACACAACTGTCAGACAGAACACACATTTCATGTCACCTCAGACAGACGGTACAAAGTGAAACATACTGTTTTCCTTTGGTGTCCAGGTCTGGGCAAAGTCTATCAGCTCTTCATCCCAACTGCATGTGTACATTGAAATAAGACAAACGGCTTTTTATGCTGCTGATAAAGACTGCGTTCAATTTTTTTCTGTCCGTAATACTCTATGCTACTACATGTAACTGGTACACTGCCGAAATACATATGACACACCTATATAGCGTCTGTCAACAATAATGTAAACCGTAAACTAACACACACCCCCATTCACACACACATTAACTATAGTACTAGTGGTTGCTCACATGGTAAAGGAGAAGCTGGAGCAGCCATCGTCCATGAGTCTCACCTCACACTTCTTGAGTGGCTTCCCACTCCGTGACCTCATCTGCTTCGGACTGTGGACCTATGTATATACACATTGTACAGTCACCGCACGGTTCAAAGGACAAACTCTACTTGTATAGTGAAGAGACCATAGGGAAAAAAAATCCGGAATGAGGGAGATATTTAAAGGGCGGTGGGGAGCTCATCTTTCTATGGTGCAGAGGGTAGCTTTCGTGGCTAAAGTGAGTCGGGCGGGAGGCGATCAGCGTTCGCACAACGCGCGGTGGACAAAGATGCCATTTCAGCACGTGGAGAAGAGGGGTTGGGGATAAAAGGAAGAATAGTCTTCTTCGGACGGATAATCATGATCGGCATACTTAGATAAAGAGGGTCGTCTAATCGGGTGAGGGGAAATACTCACGGTAACGGTAGTAACACAATTAACAATAGGGTCTAACAAAATGTGCAGTAGGAAGTGCCGTAGTATTACGAATTGCACTGCAAACTGGGTGTCACAGTATGGAAGCGATATCAGCAAAACGGTGTGTATGTGCCCTGACTTTTGGAATTATGGGGCCAGTCCAAGAACCAAGGCCTATTAACAAAATTAAGTTGCTCTGGGCAAAGTAACAAGCAAACATAATTTTCTCCAAGTGGTGTCACTAAGCGTAATGTGGCAACATGCAGCCGCCACCACGCGGGTAATAGCGGGTTCAGGGTGCCTAGCAAAAAGCGGGCTTGAAAATTAACGGCACGGATCCAGCTTTAAGGTCTTTGGAAAAGCGATAGTATAATTGAAGGGCATTAATGGTCATAAAGGAAACCAATCAAAGGGAAAGCGCGAAAACATAATCCCATCCGAGTCAGACTATCCACAAAACGACACCAGGAAGGTTGGGGAACAGGCGGATAGCAGGAAAATGGGTTTTAGCGTTGAGGAGTAGGTTCTGAATGGAAAAAAACGGATGGGGAGAACAGGAGAGGAGTGTAATCCACCAGCTCAAACAGGGATAAAATTCATTAATGTTAAATATTTGTTATTAAATTCATATTTGTGACAAATCCGACATATCTCCCAAAACTTGTCAGACTGTGAATAAGTTGGTGCTGCAAGTTTTGTATAATATACAGATACATATACAGTAAACTCTACCACACAATTAAGTGTTACAAGACATAAGAAACTCTATAACGACAACTTAGTTTTTACAGGAGAGGAACAAAGGCAGAAGAACCTCTACGACACGATAACATTATACAGGGGGGGAATCTCAAGTGTCTGACAATGGCCGAGTAGGTTATGTGTGCTCCTTGAGAGTATGTAGGAAGGGCAAGTACGGACAGAAAAGGACGGAGGAATGAGCGGACTAGATGAGGGGCTGAGTGATATGAAGGGGGGGAGGTGCGGAGTGGGTGGTTGCTTAATTGCGACGAGAGCCGGAGCCGCCGCACTTTGAGGTGTGGTGAATAAAGGGACGGGGAAGGAAGGGGCAGTACCAGTCCAATGTAAAGGGACGATGGTCGTTGTCGGCCCTCAGTCGAGCAGGATGGGTGTGCCACTGCAAGAAGTAATACATGTTGGCATGCATAAAAGAAGAGGGTATACCATAATAAAGAAAAAGGGCTCGGAAATGGCCGAGTCGGGAAT